CGACTGGTTGGAGGGTCACAAGTGTTCATAGCAAAAATGTCTGGAGAGCATTTATAAAATAAAAACGATTAAATAATGTTGGGCTTAAGTTACAGCTCTGTTTTACTCCTGAAGAGTATGGAAATCTATTTGTTATTCTTCCGTTTAACAAGCTGTCGAAGATTCGGGTCAACGCAACGAGTCCGATGCCAATAAATATTCCAATAAATGTCAATAAATCCTACGTTCATAAACATGAATAAACATGCAAACTGAATCGCTATCTCGCGAGGCGATATTGGTTCAAATACTGCGTCAGGAAAACGTACGATTACTGGTAAACGCAAAACATCGAGTACACACTGCGAAGAAACCGAAAAAAACTAACAACTAACCTACCAGCCATTTTGTATAATGCAATATGGGTAATATGTAAAGTAGGTCGTATTCGGGAGGTCCTATTTGAGAGCTCCCAGATACGACCCAATGTGGCGTGCGCATAACCCTTCTCCCTTTATTTGTGTCAGACAGTCAGTGAGTGTATCAGCGAGATGGCGAAGGCAGACGATCGCAGCGACCTGGAAAAAGATCTCTTCGAAGAAATTAGTCATGGTCTGTATATCTATTAATGTTTATTTTTTTGTGTTCGAATATATCAAGAACATAATTCAGTATTTGTATGAGAAACGCGGTTGCCTGTCTGGCTGCAGCATGACAGACTCACATGCACACACACATAAACGTAAATCTGTTACCGACGACGATTTACCTTCGGAAAGCGGGAATTCTAGAACATTCCTTGATTTTTCCACCATCACGCCGTCAACATGTCTAGTGTGTATTTGTCTGATTATTCGAGTCTCGGGTCTCTAATTAAAAAGTGTGACTGATTTTTGTCGTGTCCCGTTCCTTGCTTCAATGGTTGGTTGTCATGGTAATTTTTCTATTTTAATGAGTGCTTATAAAATATAATTACCTCGACTATGTCCATCTATGGAATCTATTGTCCGAATTTATAAAGTTCAAGACTTCTTCTGTTAATCAACTAATTAAAATGATCATTAAAGTGCCTGTGCAATGCCCACCCTCACGTTTCCCATTTTAGATCTGTGTCCCACTGAAAAGGGTAGTTATTGATTTTTTTGCTGAAAATGATTACTCGTATCCAAGTAAATTTGAGATATTTCTCGTGTTGTAGCCACGCCCACCTATCGTGAAATGGTCGACTGTTTCTGGATTTCCGACTCTCGCCGAAAGTGCGCCACCAAATGACAAAATGTGAGAGGAAGTCATACCCCTGAGCCGTAATAACACTGGTCGTTCAGTATACTTTATAACAGTATACTTATGTATAACGATATACATTTTTCGGTCGGCGTTATTATTTTTTTTTTGAGAGAGAGATAGTTTTAAGATGTTGTGTTGTGGGCAGTTGCAGTGAAACGTATAGCCATAGTGCATGTATTCACACGTTTCTAATCGATCCGAAGGTGCGACAATCACTTAACCTTAGATTCTTTTTTGGGGGAAAAACTGTCCTCGTCCATGAGAAACGCCGACAACGTAAACCTGGCGCAACACTTTTGAAAGAAATAGATTACGGACCAGCCCATGATCACCGAGGCGGATTTCAGAAGAGAGAGAGACGTCCGGCAAGTGTTTCAAATCAGTTGACTTTTCTTGCGATCCTGATTATCGTTTTATAGAGACCATTTAGTTCCTGTTAAGTAAAAGGTAGTAATAATTTTGACAGTGACACGAAAATGAAGCGTCGGACAAACAGGAAATTACACAGCCCTTACACACTGCTAACTGTTTTCATTTTCGAAGGCTGAAAGTTTCTGAATTGTTTGGTGATTGGTGTTGAATGTCGAATTCACACCTCTGTTCTTTTTTACCTCCATGCTTGCAGCTTGATCTGCGTAATAATTTATGAAATAAGAATCCGGGCTTGGTCAATGTGTTTCCACCAAATAAAGTTTTAATACGATGTTATAATCATGACAATCACGCCATGGATCACGCTAACTCGAATTCACTCTGAATTTATCTGTATGTGTGTCGATCTCGATTATTTTTGTTATCCAATTAAA